TGTAATTTAGAATTAATTAGAAGTGCTATAATATTTCACTATGGAATGATTTATTATTCAAGTACTAGCGGAGTGGGCTTGGCCCACAGTTGGACTCATACTTGGGGAGCCCATATTTAACACCTCCTAAAATATTTGTTGTATCATATAAATACATCAAGTCTCAAGCCTCAGAACACAAGAAAATCAATTTACACGATTGGCTTCTCCCATGAGAAACGATTGGCCACTTTGAGAATTCTAGAGAGTTTGTGAGATTAGAGAGTTTCGTTTTGATCGCTCCACCAAGATTAGAGAGCTTCGCTTCGATGCACGGATCAATAATTATAAATTTCATGTATTGAAGGAATGAAGGAATGTTGATTAGTATACAAATAATTTTGAATATTAATAATTAATTTTTCTTTTATTTTATAATATATGATTTATAGGTTCATTTCACTCGTTATAAAATAGTTGTCATTTCTGATCTTGTTTATAATTAAGGATAACGAAAATTTAATATATTCAAATATTATTGATAAATAAATACTTATCTCTCTCTCTATCTCTCCCTCTCTCTCTCTATTTATTTTCTTACTCATTCTTTGTTACAATATATATATTATTTTGATTTTCAAATAAGTTAGGCTAATTGAAAATTTGTACACAAATTCATATATAAGTTTTAATTTCTCTCCCTCTTCGAAATCTCCCAACTCTCCTCTCCCTCGCTTGCATTTTTTCTTGGTCGTGCGCCTTCCCCTGCGGGCTGCGGGGCTTTTCAGTGGCGGTCAGCTCTTCGCCGCGTGGCTTTTCCCTTGATTGTGCGCTACTTCATGTCTTCTTGAGCCGGTAGATATGGATGCCCGTCCAGTGTTGTCTTTGTTGATGCTCTGGTGTCATCTCGTGGTAGCGATTCGTCGGCCTCCCTAGCGTCACGGTGGTGATGGAAGGTGATGTATCGTGGTAGCAGGGGGAGGTTGTGGCCCTGGATGATTTCGGCAGTTGCGTTGGGTGGCCGAGGTTGAGGACCGACGACTCTCGCTACTAGAACCTCTTTTTCCCTGGTGTGGGGTTTGAAGGGCTATCCGGCGCGGTTGAACCTTTGCCAGTGGTGTTAGCTCGGTACGGGCGCCAGTGGTGTTAGCTCGGTACGGGCGCCAGTGGTATGAGGGTGGGGAGTTGGTTACTCGACTGAGGGGTCGAGGTCGTCTGCCTGGAGTGGTTCGGTCTTGAGTTTCGGCTCCAGTATGGCATTTTCGGCAATCTCTGGAGTGGATTCTCATGGTTGACTTGGTTTCGCCAGTGTTTGGTGCTTGGAGTGGCTGCCTGCTACGGGGAGGGCCTTAGTTGTTGTTTTGTTGTTTCTTAGTTGTGTTTGTTTGTGCTTGTGTGTTAGGCTTTGTGTTTTCTCCCAGGTGGAAGTGCGTAGTATCTTGTGTGGGATAGGTGATTCTCCATTATTGGAGCTTTGTAGTCTTTGATGTGTTTGTGTGTGCATTGTCTAGTGTTGCTAGCTTGGTTTCTATGCTATGATCTGTCTTCCCACTTTTATTTGGTTTTCTAGTTGTCTCATTCATCTCGGGGCCACTTTCTTGTTGTATATTTGTGCGTTTGTTATAAAATCTCTATCGTTAAAAAAAAAAAATTATGGCAAATGTTAACCAACACTTAATTGAAAAAATAAATTGTAATATATATTATTCTAAAGTTAAAAACAATTTTAAATTACATCAATTATTTTAATTTTTATTATAATTTATAATATATAAATATTTTAATTTTTCTTTCTAACCTATTAATTTATATGAGATTTTATGATATTGTGGCGCACTATGAATTTTTCAAAAATTGGTTTTGTGCAGTTATTGACAAAATCAAAAGAAATTTTTAACTCCTTGAATAGATGATTTTGGCATACAGATTTAATGAATAGAAAATCTAGGGTTTGTTATTAATGTTGAGATATCAATTCTATTATAGTATTATAGTTTTTATATCAATAAGATTTTTGTAATTGATTTCTAAATTTATTTGGCACTTATATATTGCAATGTTCTCACGCATAATTTGGCCTACATATGGATGATGCCCAACAAAATCGGAGAACACATTATTTGTTATTAAGAATAAAAATTGTTGTTATTAAAGATAAATAATTATATTTCTTTTGATATTTTAGAAAATTAGGTTTATAATTTTTGAAAAACTGAAACGGTGAGTTATTGATAGATCAAAGGACTCTAAACTAATTCTCTTGATTAAATGATTTTTTGAAGATACGATAAAAAAATATTTTGGTACATGGTTGATTATCAAATGAATAAGAAATCACGGTCATTTCCCGATTTGTCATGTTGATAAATAAAAATTTTATTGTAACATTGTGATAAATATCATAATAATAATATCATAATAAAATCTTCATAATTGATTTTTAATTTTTATTTTGTAAATATGCTTACAATTTTATCGTGCATATTCAAATAATATTTTCTTAAAACATAATATATTTAATCGGCGTTTTCTGAAGGCCATGTTGTATGGTTGATTACCAAATAATAAGAAATTGAAGTTCGTAATCAATATGAAGAATCAAATTGCTACTGAGACAATTATCATAAAATAATTTTTTAAAATTGATACCACTTTATTTATATAGGAAATCATGCTTTAACAGGATTACACGATTACAACATGTGTGTATACTTTATTTATTTTTTTTATAAATATTAAAGTCATTTTCACTATATTTCCTTTAATAGCAAGTCAACATATTTTATTACAAAGACAAAGTTACTGTTTTAGATTATTCCATCAACCTCTTTGAATATATATAGATTATCTAACTCAACTTTAACTAAAGCTCATTATTCTCAATTTTATCAATACAATTAAATAATATCAATCAATCATTCATATCACATCAATTTTAATTCGTAATTAATTCATTCACATAATTTTAACTAGTCATAACTTTACATCATCACTCTCCTACTTGTACATCAAATCAACTTTAATTATTTTATTTTAAAATATTTCAATTTAAACACAATCATACCAACAAATAATCGTAACACATTTTTAAATTAATTCTATTTAACAAGAAAAAAAAAAACTTGTTTTAAACTGTCACCTTAACCAAATTTCGGTCGAATTTCCTTCCTTAGCGACGACGGTGCCACGACGAGGGGTCGTCCTTGACCGCTCGGCCACCCCTGATGCAGCTCCTCCGTTATTGCTGTGGATTGTCCAAGATTGGTGGTCTGGTCTTCGATTGCTGATGGGGCTCCGATTGGTGGTGGCATCTCCCATGGTCGATGTTTGGCTTGCGATTGGTGTCTTCCCATCACTCGCCGGCGGAGCTCCGACTTGTGGTAGTAAGTCCCTCCTTTCTCTCATAGTCCGCGATTCTTGGGTGTTGCCTTTTTCGGTGGGGCTTCGCCTCTTCGGGTGGAGCCTAGGCTTCTGGTCGATGGCGTTCTGTGGTGGTGTAGGGAGGATCCAGTGTCATTGGATATGGTCAGACTCCGACAGTTGCAAAGCTTCCGGTTGCGGAGGTCGGGGTTGAGGGACCGAGCCACCGTCCCTCATGTGTGGCTAGTGGTGTTAGGCGACGGGGGTCCTGGTTCTCTTGATCTCGACTAGTGGTGTTAGGCGGGTTCAGTTGGGACTGGGTGGGGGCTGGTTTTTTCTATCTTGGTTGAAGACGGGTCGATTCGGGGATTGGTTCAGGGCTCAATTTCGGCGACTGTATAGGCGGATTCGCAGTTTCGGTAGTGGTTTCTCGGGCTTGGAATCTTTTTTGCATCGATCGCTCACTGCTGGTTGGACCTGTTTGTTTGCTGGGGAAATGTGTTGTTGTTATTCTAGTTTATTTGTTGTTCTAGTTTTATGTTTGTTGTGCCTGTGTTTATGTTTGTATTTGTATTTTCGGTTTGGGTCGTTGGCCTCTATGAGCCCGAGTGTCACCTTATATCCTTTTGGGATTGGACACTCGGGTATTATCCTGTTGGGATCTTGTTTCATAGTTTTTGTGTTTGTTTTCGTAGTTAGTTTGTTTAGTTGAGAGTTTGTTATTCTAGCTTTGCTAGTGTCGGGATTCTAGGCGGTCTTCTGACCTTTCCTCCAACTTTTTCAGTTGTTGGCTGCTCATCTCAGTTAAGGGTTGTATTCGCACATTTTGCATTTGTGCAGTTAAGGCTTCTGACCTATGTTTTATTTACATTGTTATGTTTAACAGTACACAACTTGTGGCGTATATTTGGTCTGTAACTCTATGATATACGTTGGTTGTTTTGTTAGCGATATAATCTACGAGTAGGGTTGCAAACGAGTCGAGCCTTATCGAGCAGAATTAATTTTTTTTTTAGTTGCTCGAGCTCGAGCTCGATTTATGAGTCTTGAGCTCTACTGGATAAAAAAATACAATAGCTCGTGCTCGACTCGAGTTCGTTTAGAAAATCTTCAAGCAACTTTGTAAAATTACCATTAAGTACATATATTAATATTATGATATATATACACACAAAGGATAATTTAGTAATTTAATATATATCTCGAGCTGCTCGCGAGCTGCTCGACAATGTAAAATATGGGCTTGAGCTCAACTTGAGTTCGTGCTCGAGCCGAGCTTTGACTCGAGCGCTCGCGAGCCGCTCAACTCGTGTGCAGCCCTACCCATGACCATTTGTTTGTGCATCACATCATGCACTCATCATAGGTTTCAACGGCTATTAGCCACCTAATTTTTTATCAGCCAATCACACCTCTCAATTTGCCTCATATAATCTCTCTCTCTTTTCACGTGGCACATCTCCCTCCTCATTTCCTGAAAAAAGTGTTTTATTTTCTCACCCAAAATAAATTGAAAATGTAATGTTTTTAACTTCGGTTCTCCACCACCATTTTCTTTCTCTCTCCGGATTGCAGCCTCTGCAAATCTGCACACTCCCTAAGATCGTATAACACTCCCGAAGATCACATAAAGAATGTATTTTTAGTTATTTTGATTCAAAATGGCTACTTTTTCAGCTTCTTCTACGGCTGCTACTCTGCCTGAGCTAATCTTTCTCTCCCCTCAAAACCCAACAAAAAGACGCAAGCTTTCTCTCTCTAGAGTCCATTATCCTGAGCCCAGACGCAGGACCAGGATTCTTGCAAGAATCAGAGCTGTCCGGAGAGAAGAAAGTGCTGTTCTTGATGAGAACGACAGAGAGTTGGAGATTAAGCTAAATTCCGGCGTGAATGGTAATGGGAATTCCGGTTACAGTAATGGCTTTGCTGGGAATCTCACTAATGGGAGTGTGGAAGTTGGGAGTGGTGATAGCAATTTGGTGAAGCGTGTGAATGGGGTTGAGAATGGAAGCGTGGCTGCTGCGAGGAGTGTAGTGGAAGTAGTGAAATTGGATGAAGTTGTTAGTGAGAAGAAGACTGTAGAAGAAATTGGACAAGAGGACGCTTGGTTTAAGAGAAAAGGCCAAGATCAAGTTGAGGTATATCGTTAATGTATGCTAGCTTTTACTAAAATCTGAACTAGTGTATAGTGAGCTTAACGTGTTTGTTAATTTGTCTGATGAAATTACTTTGTTAGATAGGTTTTTGTGCATGTGTAGATGGTTGTTGCAGGCCCTTGTTAATGGATTTTCATCAATTATAATTATTTATTTGTTATTGTAAGTTGTTTGTTTATGAACTAAAATTTTGGATTTTTGTTTTTTTTTTTTTAACATTATGTAATTTGAATGCTTGGAGTCGTCGTAACTTGATTGTTGCATTGTAGGTTTACTGAGCGGTTTAATATTATCTTATGACTGCAAATGAGCTATGTGGTTGAGGAGAGAAACCTTGTTTTGCTAATGTACTCGAGGCGAGAGCACGTCTACTTGAATGGTTTATGAATTTGTCAAATTGGCCAAGCATTGTGTATATAGAATAAAACTTAATTGTCATTTTTGGGAAGCAAAATGCAGTCTCATATTGACTTTTGAAGAGAACATATTCTTATTGTCCTTTGTTTAAGTAATTTTTTTTATTCTAACTTTTTATTTCTGGTTTCTAATGAGTTTTATGACTGCAAATGTGTAGGAATTTGTGACTGTGAAGTTCCTTTTTCCAAGCCAAACTGATACTGAACAAATTTATTTATGTTAACGTTACAGGTATCTGTTGCCCCTGGTGGCAGATGGAACAGGTTCAAAACATACTCAACTATTCAAAGGACAGTAGAAATTTGGGGATTTGTTTTCAGCTTCATATTCAAGGCTTGGTTGAACAATCAGAAGTTCTCATATAGAGGTTAGCTGCTTCAGCTATCAGATTGCTAATTTTCCGTGTGCAGCTCCTTAATTTTTTATCGAATGTCTTATGTGGAAAGTTAACTAATAAGTAAATTCAATTTATTTGAGAAATATTGTTCTTATACATCTGTCCTGAGTTTGCTAAGCTGAATTCCTTAATAAGAAGAATAATTTATTTGCTGTTGCAGGTGGAATGACGGAGGAGAAAAAGACTAAGAGGAGAAAGGTACTGGCCAAGTGGTTGAAGGAAAGTATATTGAGGTTGGGCCCTACCTTCATTAAAATTGGCCAGCAGTTCTCGACACGAGTAGACATTCTTGCTCAAGAATATGTTGATCAATTGTCTGAGCTTCAGGTAACAATAGACTCCCCTAAATATGATGTCCATCTCTTTAAGTCTTTATCTGTCTTTCTTTTTTCCTTTTTTCTTGGTGAGCTTTTTGACCAAGCAAAATGTACTAAGAATTGCTCCCTACATTTGTTTCACCACTGCAACTTTCATGCTCGCAAGAATTGTCACATTATTCTTACGTCATGCAGGATCAAGTTCCTCCTTTTCCATCAGAAACAGCTGTGTCGATAGTCGAGGAAGAACTTGGAGATTCTGTAGATGGCATATTTGATAGATTTGACCAAGAGCCGATTGCTGCTGCAAGTCTTGGTAATATTGATTCATTGCTAAAAGACTGTGATATATTAAACTTCATATAAGGTGAAAGGGTTATGTTTATCAGACTAACGGTACTCTTCTATAGGTCAGGTCCATCGTGCAAAATTTAGGGGACAGGAAGTTGTTGTAAAAGTACAAAGACCTGGACTGAAGGACCTGTTTGACATTGACCTTAAAAATTTGAGGGTTGGTTTGCTGACTAAGTTCTTATATTGTTTTAATACTCTTGTTTTTCACCATTCATTTCATTTTTGTTTTCCTTTTTTCTTTTTATTTGAACTTTTTTCTACATCAAGTATGATAAATCTACTGTGGCTTGCATGGTTGAGATTTTTGGCTGAAGTATTGATCGTTTAGCATTTTGTTCTGTGCAGGTGATAGCTGAATATCTTCAGAAGATTGATCCAAAATCTGATGGTGCAAAAAGGGATTGGGTGGCTATCTATGACGAATGTGCAAGTGTCTTGTATCAGGTGACTGGTTGCCCATGCTCACACTTCAGATTTTTGTATGTAAAAAATTACTAATCTCTAACCAACAACAATCATATTTCTCGTTTTTATGATGGTCATATTGGATAATAATTCTTTACGCTAATGTAAATTTTAATTGAGAAATGGGGTCAAATAATCTCATTTTTATGAAAGGATTGGTGAAGGATATAATAAGATATGCTACAAACACTGTCTTAAATGTGATGCACATGCCTTTGAGGAAGTTTTAGAGCGCATAGTATATTAGTATTAATGGAAAGGAACTTATGCTTTAACATATTCCAGGAAATTGACTACACCAAAGAAGCTGCAAATGCCGAGCAATTTGCAAATAATTTCAAAGACATGGATTATGTGAAAGTCCCATCCATATATTGGGAATACACAACCCCACAGGTTCAAAAAATCCTTGCACAAACGTTCAATTTTCTGGTTCTTTAGTTACGGATTTCGTGTAGATGATAATATTTTCCAATCATGAGTTCCTTTCCATTTTCTGTAGGTTTTGGTGATGGAATATGTTCCTGGAATCAAAATTAACCGTATACAAGCTCTAGATCAGTTAGGCGTTGATCGGAAGAGGTGTTATAACCATCTTTGATCAACTATTTTGATTACTAAATTGTTGTTACTGTGTTCGACATCTTAATACTGTTTTTGAATTTTTTTATCCAAACATCTAGAGCTTATAAGATGTCTTGAATAAGCTTTGCTCAATGTCATTTGGCTGGCTTTTGAACAATAATCATATTTATAAACCGTATTATTTTGGTGCTGGTTGATTTTCATTAGGTTGGGACGGTATGCTGTAGAATCTTACCTGGAGCAAATTCTGTCTCATGGCTTTTTCCATGCTGACCCAGTAAGCAGTAGTCCACTAAGCTTTCATGAGATTGTTTAACTACTTCCTTTTTTTCTTCTTCTTTTCGTGTCTGGATTATTGCCTGCATCTATTAAACTTAATATCCACTGACTCTATGAGTAGTCCCCAAGGCTTAGACTGTTGAGTTCTTTATAAGGATCTTCCTACTTATATTGTTACTATAAAATCCAGTTTCAGTGAGGAATGGTCAATCTCTCAAGAATTAAAAGAGAATAGCATTGCATACCGTTGATTCGACTATTTTATTACTTGAATACTGTGATACTGGATCTGATTGCATTTGGAGTAACCGTTTTACCATTTTAACTTTATATTTATTTATTTTTTTGTTTTATTTTGCAGCATCCTGGAAATATTGCTGTAGATGATGTTAATGGTGGAAGATTAATCTTCTATGATTTTGGAATGATGGGAAGGTACGTTTAATTTTTTTTTTTTTTTTCCATGCTTGGAGTTTGGTTCTTTTCCTTTTTTTTTCCGGGTGAGGGGGAGGGAATCATATCTGGCACTGTTACAAGGTAGTGATTAAACTTGAGTTTCTGCAGTATTAGTCCAAACATCAGAGAAGGTCTGCTGGAAGTATTTTATGGGGTTTATGAGAAAGACGCTGAAAAGGTCCTTATTGCCATTTTCTTTGGTGTTTTAGTAAACAGAAAACCTCAAATTATTGGTGAACATGTGTATATATTTTCTTTTGACGGAAGAAAATGCTTAAACATGATGCAGGTTCTTCAAGCTATGGTCCAAATGGGTGTTTTGGTGCCTACTGGAGACATGACTGCTGTCAGACGAACAGCTCAGTTCTTTCTCAACAGGTTTTTCGCCTGTAGCAAATTCTTTTTTCCCTAGCATCATGATTCTCTACTTTCAAACTTGAAACGGTCTATATCTCTGTTCTCCCCCGAAGAATCGATATACTAGTTTATGGTTTAGTTATAAAACCCAAAAAAGAAAAAAAAAAAAAAAAAAAAGAATCCTGTGAATTTGTCTGTCAATATAAGCAGATAATGGTGTGTATTGAAATTGTGCAGCTTTGAAGAGCGTCTTGCACAACAAAGAAATGAAAGGGAAATGGCAACAGCAGAACTTGGATTCAAGAAGCCATTGAGCAAGGAGGAGAAGATTGCGAAAAAGAAACAACGTCTAGCTGCAATTGGTAAATCACTTATGTTAATTCATTTGTTTAACTGTTCTACTTGTTGCCACAGCTTTTTCTCTACAACAAAAAAAACAACATACCCAGTATATTCCCAACTGGTTGGGGTCAGTTGTTGCCACAGCTTTTTCTCTATTTGTTTATAATTTTTTGGAAATCCGTCTGTAGTCTAATAAATCAGCCTCTCACATTTCAAGTTTGGTTCGAAGACAAAAAGATGTTCCCACCTAAATTAATGAGTTGTTTTTAGTCTTGTTTCAACTTTCTTTATGGTTGTTTAACCGGTTGAGTGCTTATGTTTGATTCATAACTTAAACAGGTGAAGACTTGCTGGCAATTGCTGCAGATCAACCATTCCGTTTTCCAGCTACTTTCACATTTGTTGTTAGAGCTTTCTCAGGTATCTCGTTGTCCTTCTCGCTACTTAACTGCAATATTTTATTTGTTTATTTATTTTTAGTCATATTGACCTGAAGTTTATGTGTAACAGTGTTGGATGGTATTGGGAAGGGACTTGATCCTCGATTTGATATCACTGAAATTGCTAAACCGTAAGTTCGGTTTTGAAAAGTACTTTTGGTGTCCATGATCACATATGGAAATTCTTTCTATGTCGCAAATAATTCGTTCAGAATACAAAAAAAATCCAGTTATTGTTTTCAAATTTGCAAATACGCATCAGATCAATTTCAAGTATTCGGTGATGTATATGTTTATTGGCTTACTCACAATCGGCGCAAATGTCAAAGGATACTGTAATCGGAAAAATAATTGGAATTTTAATCCTTTTAATTTTGACTCGAACCTCAACAGTTCGAACTTAACCGGGTTAAAATTTAATTTAAAGGAAAAATTATATTTGTTTCGACTAATGTACTTTTTCTTTCCCGACACAGCTATGCTCTAGAATTGTTAAAGTTCCGTGAAGCTGGTGTTGAAGTCATCAAAAAGGCAAATTTCTCAAAACCTTCTCTTAGCATGACATATGTTTCAAACATAAGATTAGGAAGTTACGAAACGGTAGCAAAGTTTGCTGAAAAATATATTGCATATTTTTGCAGGACTTGAAGAACAGATGGGATAGACAATCTCGTGCATTTTACAATCTGTTTAGGCAGGCCGATAGAGTTGAGAAACTTGCCGAGATTATCCAACGACTGGTTAGCATTGTTTTTATATTTAGTAGGTTTCACATCGTTTGAAAAGAACTTTCCAGTAAAATAAAAAATAAAAAATAAAAAAATTGTTGAAATTTTATCATTTTGTGTTATCTCATAGGAGCAAGGCGATTTGAAGCTTCGTGTACGAGCTTTGGAATCTGAGAGGGCCTTCCAACGTGTGGCAGCTGTTCAAAGCACGATTGGAAGTGTAAGTTTGTAATTTATATGACAACTAATAGAACTTAGGTCATTAAATAAAATGATAATTGATGTATGAGTTTTTTTATTCTCTTAACAATGATTTTCGTGTTCATTCATTAAAAATCATACTTATTCGATTTCTAACTATTAACAGGCGATTGCGGCTGGAAGCTTAATCAACCTGGCCACTGTTTTATATCTCA